TCAACGCGAGGGTCAAGTTTTCACCAGCCTCTTGGCAACACGGGTGGTTGCGCGCCAAGTATGCATTCTGGAATATAAGCCCAGAGTTATGTATCTCAAGCAATAAAATAGCCAGCCGCAGTGTCAGCTTACTCCATATCAAATTTTATTAAAATCGCTCAAGACCGATATGACAACTTTATGGCTTATCAAATTTATAATTAATTTATAATCTACTCTGACATGCATGTAACAATAGACAATTTCAAATTATATTCATAAACTAGTGACCCGCCCTCGCTTCGTTTCGGTGTAGAGCTGTAGTGTAGACTATAGTTATTGTTCTCAGGCCTGTATTATACACAATGACATTCTTCTTATACCTACCGCCGCCGCGACCCGTGTCAAGCGCGGCAACCGTTACACAAAAATAATCCTTATAGCATGATTCAGTATTCACGTGCGACGGCGCGATGGCTTATTTCATGTATAAGTTTGGGGTTTCTATACCGATTTCTATGACTCTTTTTTTATTGAATAGTTAATAATTTAACTTTTTTAAATTAGGGGTGAGTGAGAGTATTATAGAAGTAAGAGCAAACAAATATAATCAGAATGCTCCGAACTGCTAAGCTATCAGGAGTTACACGTGTTATTGTGAGTCAACCATAAAAGATAGACATATGCTGTTGCACGATATTTTTTAGACAATTTTATGTAGAATATTTCCGTCATACATGATTTCTATGTAACTTTAACCATTAAGGCTGCACACGCATCGGAAGCTAAAAAAATGGAGTAACTTCTCCCGTTTTCCCAACATTTCCCTTCACTACTCTGCTCCTATTGACTGTAGCGTGATGAAAAGTATACTATAACCTGCCCAGGAGTATGAAGAATAATTGTACCAAGTTTCGTTAAAATCCGTCCAGTAGTTTTTGTTTCTATAAGGAACATACACACAGACAGACAGACAGACAGACAAAAATTTTACTGATTGCATTTTTGGCATCAGTATCGATCACTTATCACCCCCTGATAGTTATTTTGAAAATATATTTCATGTACAAAATCGACCTCTCTACAGATTTATTATAAGTATAGATATAGATTGTGATTCCAATGTAAAAATAATAGTACTTCTTTCATAGGTCCATATCTATTTGTATACCTTAATTAAGGTGGAAATGTAGTGATACTAACAAAAATTTTATATACCATGTATACTAACCTATGTTTCACAAATAAAATTCTGATTCTGATTCTGATTCCAGCAGTTTAGACGTGAAGAAGTAACAGACATACACACTCACATACTTTCGCCTTTATATGATGCACGTGATTATAAATAAATACATGAAGGAGAAAATTATGACATTTTTAGCTCTTTTAAAGCGCATTTTGCGCATGGAGCAATGAGAGAATAATGCGTAGTTATTTGGTCATTGCATTGAATGAAAAATGCAAATATTTTTCTTACTATCATCATCATCGGCTTCTCTACGGGGTAGGGTATTAAGTCAGGGTAGGCAATCGCTTACCATCAGGAGGGACATATCCTTTTATGCTACCCTTTTAACATAAATTAATTAATTTCTCCACTGCAGTATGTAACACAGGCCTTTCCTATGGATTGAACAAGTAGATTTAAGCTTCCCCATATAGACGCATTAATATCGGACATAATTTTGGAATGCGTCATTTTTTTTTTTTGGAAGTTTTGAAGCTGATTTAATAACCGTCTTTTCATGTTTTTTTGAAGTTATACTTCTTTAGGCGCGTTATGAAAAAATGATGAGAGTGAAATTTTAAGATGCGCGCGCATTACTGTAACACAAAAAATTAACAGCATGAAGTTGGTCGCTTTAGCTTTAGCGACCAACTTCATGCTGTTACATTTGTCTTTACCGCACATTAAGAAAATCTACCAACAAAATAGAAATAGAATCTCTATTTTGTGGGCGCTAACGACTGCATTGTGAAGGCCTATCAAAAGTATTTATTAATCTGGAACAACGGAACCAAAGCGCGATTCAGGAGACTACAGCGCCATCTCTTGACCATTGGTGTAGTAGAACCAAAAACCACATCTTTATTTTTTGTAATAAAGTAACAAAAAGTATTTATTAATCTGGAACAACGGAACCAAAGCGCGATTCAGGAGACTACAGCGCCATCTCTTGACCATTGGTGTAGTAGAACCAAAAACTACATCTTTATTTTTTGTAATAAAGTAACAGTTATAGGTATTCATATTTATAATATTTATCCACATGTTTCTAGTTTGTATATTCGGAATACGTGTTTGAGTTTCATACAAGTGCAAATCACATATGTTCTAATAAATTATATTCAGTAGCGATTTTAATTGAATATTTTGATTATTTATTTATTTTTTCAAATTAAAACTGAACTTTATTGACTGTGTCCTTTTCCAGACTTTTTATTAATTTATTGTAATTAATTATTTGCATGCAATTAAAAACTAATTTTAAACGATGCCAAAGAAGGATAACTTCTCACGCGCCTACATAAGTACACGCACCCATTTTTTTATTATTGCTCAACCATAAACATAGCTACAGGTCGCGGCACGTGACTCTAGCGCTGAACAAAACGCGGAGGTGATAGCTGCGCATGGGACAACCATTTGCTTTGTTATTTTACAATAAAGTTTTAATAAATAAATAAATTCGAACAACAGCCGACCCATGAACCAATTAGAAGAATTGAGTACTCTCACTTACATCTATATCCTAAAACTAAAATATTTAGCTCACTTACCCCTAAGTTACAAAAGTACAAAACGAAAATAAGCAGACAGCCATAATCTAAGCACATGACTACTAAGGCCCCACTGATTCAACTAGACATTTGATAAAACCCACATTCACCTAAACAAACGTACTACCTACTAACTAACTACCAATTACTAAAACATTTCATGGAACCAATTACTCGTACCTACCCAATCAATTAAAAGAAAACAAACACATTTTATGAGGAGCCCAATGGCACAGATAGTTAGCGCATTCGGCCTGCGATCGTGGAGGCTAAGCAACTTTCGTAATGGTCGGTCATTGGATGGGTGACCACAAACTTAGTATCCCGAACTCCTCCGTGCTTCGGCAGGCACATTAAGGTGTTGGTCTCAGCTGCATCTGCAGTCGTTAGCACCCACAATATATATATATATATATACATATATATGAGTGATGCGTGCGCTGCTCCATTCCCCTATGCCTTATGCACCGCCTAATGTTAGGTTACTTAAGAAAAGAAGTTTCACTTCAGATGTGTGGTTTTTTTTGACAATTTTTTTTCTTTGTTGTTCCGGAAATTAAATCTTTTCCATAGGATTTTTCCATTTACACCCCGTCCGAAAAGAAGTTTCTTTTCTCGGGATCTGGGTTTTGAATTACATAATGTACCTGTATTGTGAGTACATTTTACCTAGTACCTACCTTACGATATTGAACGTACCTTTGCAAAAAGAAAGCCTTCCTTAAAGGAGATCGTACATATGTCCCCACTGCTGGGGCACAGGCCTTCCTTATAGATGAAATAGGGAGATAGGGCCATGACCCACCACGCGGGCCCAGTGCGGATTGGCGGGTGTTAACGACTGCAGATGCAGCCGGGACCAACGGCTTAACGTGCCTTACGAAGCACAGAGGAGCTCGAGATAGTAAATTTTTGATCAACCATCCAATGACCGACCACTGCGAAAGTTGCTTAACTTCAACGATCGCTTCACTTGCGCCAGTGAGCTCCTCAAATCATAGTCTCCATCTCATCATCTCCAAAAATTTCCATATAGTTTTTAAGAAATGGTACGGTGCAAAATTTTCCATATAGTTTTTAAGAAATGGGGCACGTACGGTGCTGATGAAAGTGTACGTCATATTATGATAGCATACAACGAATTCTAAATGCGGCGCGTGCGGTCCGGACATAATGTGCGATCACCAGGTGGTGTAGGTACAAAGCCTTAAAAAACGTAGATAAGGTAAAAATGGCAATACCTACATTTATATATCAATCAAATACCTGCTGGGCATTAGCCCACCAGTGGAAGATATTTGGTTAAGACAGACCAAATTTCATTAGTAGAGTCTGTGCGGAAAGAGAATGGGATTTAGATTGGAGGGCGCTGTAGTGCTTTTCTACCGTATTTGTAAGGTTTTACCCCTTTTAGACATGATTAAATACAAAAAACCGCAAAAAATCACAACAACAAACAAATCCGTATCAATAAAAAAACTTTGACGTTTTACAGATTGCTGGGTTTGATTGCCAAATAAAAATCTTAATGTTAGTTCCGTTTTTCGCCACGCCCATTCTCTTTCCACACAGACTCTAACATTTTTTTACGAGTTTAATTATTATAAATAACACATTATTATTTCTAGTACTTCAATCTGTCATATACACCGAGAACTATGAGTTACCTGAAAAACTTCCCTAGCTAATTCAGACTGCGATTTAGGTTGTATTTACAAAAAAAAACTTTTTCTTTTCGAAAAATATCCCCACGTTAACTTATATGAGTGGTCCCTATAAATTTTTAATCAAGCAATGTCATTTTAATATCTAAGTAGGTATCATATCATTGTATTTCCGTTACCCTAGTATCCACGGTACTTAAGTTATAATTGTGTGTTAGAAATATTATTATTTATGTAACATTATATTCAATAGTGAAAATCAATTGAATTGTAACGCTGCTTCCATTAGAACCTAACTCGACGACGAGTTCAACGTCGAGTTACAACAGAGAATATCACGAGCGTACTCGGTAACTATTGCCAAAGGGATACTGCACGCGCCGCGGTATCGATCTCAATTCCGCGCAGCATCCGCGCATCTCTCCCTCCATCACGGAAATCTTGCCCAGCAGCCTCCACATCACAGACAAACCGTATTTAAAAATGTTAAAAACCTCCCAAGACAAACTTTAAAACGATCAAAACGCATTTTTAGTTTCAAAAAACTAAGTCTTAAACGCAATATTCTCGCAACAGAATTCTAAGATGTGGAGGCAAATAGTGCTGTAGGTGAAAACATAATGTGATAACTACACAAAATGGTGTACTTATTAGTGTAAAGAAGTCTTCCAAATTTGTAGCTATTATAAAGTTGTTACATAAGTGTTCATAATAAAAATAAATTGTGTAATATCAATGTCTTCCCGTTGAGGTCAATTTGTGACATATCGGTTAAAAAAAATTGGGTGAATAAAGTGTACAATTGAAAGCGATCCAAGTCGAATAATAATAAAAATGATTAATCTGAACCGGTTCAAAATACCCCCCCTGAAGAATGCTTTGGATGTGGCGATGCAGACGGTTCGCCAACAGATGCCCGATAGACCGGGGCCACCACCACGTCCCCCACAAAACGTACGATTCGCAAACTTAGGTAAGAATCTTATCTACTTATAGTAAGTATTTATGGAGATTAGTATTTCAAACTAAAGAAAATTCTACTAGAAAAAGAAATCCACGCGGACCAAGCAGCAGACGGGACTCGAACCCGCAGCCTCCGCTATCCGGGCCAATGCAATGACCATAATGCTTTAAACATCGAGCAGTTACATGCTTAAAAAAAAAATTATAACTATAAATGCTATTTTTTCTTTCAAATGTTTAATACTTGTAAAGGTAATCATTTGACATCGTGGATTACCTACAATACGAAGAGATGGCGCTGCCTTGCAGCTTAAGGGAGGCTAGAAAAAATTGACAGGGCCATCAGGGCCGCGGTAGCATAATGGTCAGTGCATTGGCCCGGAAGCGAAGGGTGCGTGTTCGAGTCCCGTCTGCTGCCTGGTCGGCATTGGAATTTTTCTAGTAATATTTTCGTTATTTTATGTTTTGTAAGGCAAGGATTAATTTTATTATATTTTTTGGAAAAGAACTCATCAAGGCCCTTTAATTTGATACCTATAAAATGAAATTATTTTTACGATTCCGTACTCAAAGGGTAAAAATGGGACTCTCTTACTAAGAGTCCTCTGTCCGTCTGTCTGGCACTGAGCTGTATCTCATGAACTATGCAGGGACATTTGAAATTTTCACAGATAAAATAAAATGTTTAAGGGGAGCTCCCATACAAAAAAAAAAGGATGCGTGTAACATAAGTACGCGCGTGAGAAGTTATACTTCTTTAGCATCATTAAAAATATTTTTTAATTGCATGCAAATAATTAATAATTACAATAAAATAATAAAAGGTCTGGAAAAGGATAGTTAACACAGTCAATTAAGTTCAGTTTTAATTTGAAAAATTAAATAAATATTCAAAATATTCAATTAAAATCACTACTGAATTTAAGTTATTAGTCCATATGTAATTAGCACTTGTAAGTAACTAAAACACGTTGTGTCTATATAGAAACTAGAAACATGTGGATAAATATTATAAATATGAAAACAGTGATCAGAGGCGACGAGCGTGCCAACATTGTTTTTGACAACGCGATCATCTTATGGAGCTCCGTGGATCGTTCAAAGTACCTTTCGAACAGATGTCTATACGCATGTCTGCATTCATAACGCGCCCGCGGCCAACTTCATGGTGTTACTATTGTGTTACAGTGATGCGCGCGCATCTCGAAATTTCACTCTCATGATTTTTTCATAACGCGCCCGCGGCCAACTTCATGCTGTAATTTTTGGGTTACAGACTGTAGTGTGTAGAAGTTGGCCGCGCACTGTAACTTACAGTGATGCGCGCGCATCTAAAAATTTCACTCTCATCATTTTTTCATAACGCGCCTAAAGAAGTATAACTTCAAAAATGTTTTGGCGTTTTATGCTCTATATTAATAACGGCAACAATAAGTAATAGTTGTATGTATGAATAGGTAATGTTACGGAATCCTTCGCACTTGGCCGGTTTTTAATTATTATTTTGCAATGCCCATTTTGTTTCGTTTTTTTAACTCTTTCATACGCATTTGTTTTGTTTTTATTTTCTTTTTATTAAGTATTTGTTGCATCTGTAATATTGTTTACAATTGGGTACGCAACCCAATGAGTCCTCGAGGTGACTTCGTGATGCCGCCGTGGGAGATGCATGGGTTTATTAATAGAAGGAAAAGAGTAGGGGACGGTAGAACGGACGGTACGAGACGGTAGAGACAGAACGAAGAAAGACGGAAGAAGCAGAGTAGAAAAGAAAGGAAAATCACAAGCGGGATTACAGATAGATGGACACTAAGGCTTGAAATTGAACAGCACAATCACACATATACCTATTACACTTGCTTACAGCTTATTGTATTTTTCCCCCTGAGCTCGCGTAGTCTACATAGTGCAGAGGACCACGCGCGCTGGCCTTCGGTGTCACCGTCTAACTGTGGCCACAATTCCAACGCGTACAAAGAAATTTGGTGACTCATTTCTTTGTCTCACCATCCGTAAATGGAATGCTCTGCCTGCTCACGTGTTCCCTCCTTCTTACAACCTGGGATCCTTTATAAGAGGTGTGAAGAAGCAACATGCAGGCCGGCAAGGTGAGGATGGCTGGTGTGGCAGGTAGAACTGCTGTACCAGCTATCTACACGTCTGGACTTCACCATCACTTAACATCAGGTGGGGTGGAGTCATATGTCGGACCTATCTATAAAAGAAAAAGATTGCGTGAGCGCTGGGAAAGCCGTATTTGATTAAAGGGAAGAACCTCAGTAACAATAGAACTAATAGATCTAGATCATATACCGAGAGAGCTACAACTAAGCTACAACAGCAGCGTGAAAATCAGCTGTCTGTAAAACAAGTGCGAGTTTGTCTTTGTAGCCCGACCAGTTGCTTAATGGATCAACGTAGATTGTCCGACAGGGGGCTCAGGTCAAATCGAAGAGCTAAGCCAATCAAAAGAGATTGCGATATGCTGCGAAGAGGCAACACCAGACTCGTTGGTCGTACATTTGGTGATAGACGGGCTCAAATCGTCTGACGTAAACGAAAGGTCTACACTGCTAATCCGTGAGATACTGTTTCAAAGGTTACATCGCCGAAATTAAGATAATTAAAGGCACGCGAATACATAAAATCATACACAATATTACCTCTATGATTCTGTCTCCCCGTATCATTTCACGCTGAATGCCAACCATTGAAATCTCCCGCATTCAGGCAGTGAGAATTATGTACATGATCTAAAAATCTTGCTAATGTTTGTTTATATTTGAATAAACTCAATTCTAAACAAAAAAAGTAATACGTTCAATTTGGCTCAATTTTAATCAACCATAATATGCATAATCAACATGAATCAGTAAAGTAAATTTCCTCAGGTAACTCAAAATCCACGGTTTATACGTCAGGAAAGACTACCTAAGAACTACCTGAGACTTCATTCTATAATAATAATAATATTCTTTATTGTATAACACCACAAAGGACATAACAGTAAGATTACACTGACAGAGAGACATTACACAATGGGCGGCCTTATTGCTTAATAGTCTCAATCTCTTCCAGGCAACCCATGACGGTATAAGTGTATAAGAACAAAAAAAGGGGGAAAGGGTGTAAAAGCAATATTATAAAATAAAAGAAAAAAGGTAATAATAATATAGATGCATATTTATATGAAAATAAACAAATAAATTCTATGTTCTGTGCTGAAGCCCAAGCACGAACTTTGATAGCTCCACAATCGTATCGTCATCCTCAAATTTTGTATGGAAGGAGCCAGTTTGTTCTCAAGTCCTGTAATTGCGCCGGTTAGTTTCTATAGAAATTTTGACTATGCGATACGATAACAGAGCTGTCAAAGTTAGATAGACCCTCTTAATGGTGTCGTGTGAGGCGGGTCGTTGCGTTCTCTAAAAGATGGTTGAGCGAAGCGATAGCTGGTTCATGCGTCATGCTCGTGAACGGGTGCTGCCAGCGGAGATGAGTCTGCTCTTGCTTCATTGGGTACTATTATCGTTGTACTAAACTTTAATCGTCCACTAATATTCTTTTTTGCCTAAACAGTAGGACACGGCATTCCTAAACTTTGTTAAACCAGTTTTTTATATAGTCATATTTTTTATATTACATGCATTTGTAATGGAAAGTGACTTTATGAGTTACCTCATATTGAAGTCATTTTTCAATTTGACGACTCTGTATATAATACAGGGAGAAAAACACAGCCCTTGCTGAGTTTCTTGCCGGTTCTTCTCAGTACAAGGTCTCCCGCCGTAGATTTGCGAACCGATGGCGTAGCTTTTCGACATTCACAAGTGCTTGTAACAGCCTAGACTGAATAAACGATATTAAATTTTGAATTTTTTAATAAAATAAACGTGATGTTTCGTGAGTAAAAAAAGAAGTACCATTTCATTTTTTCAATTTATTGTATTTGTTCTATATTTTTCTATATGAATTTATGTCAATTAACAGCAGCTATTTTTGTTTTTTTTTGTTTTCTCCTAGGCAGGTTTGAAATTCTCGCGAATATCCTAGAATCTTTACAGACTCAAACACCTTCTTACCTTTGAAATGGCAGTGGTGTCGATTCTGGCATGATTTTCTAAACTTAAAAGTAAATTTAACACCAGTCTCTCTTTTTCATTCTGTATAAAGAACGACAAGGATACACTGTTGTCAAATTTAAGTTTAGGTATAGAGAATCATGTTAGAATCGACACCAGTGTATTACAAATGTACACCTAATATTTATTTGAATGTATATTCTGTTCTCCATAGACAACATGGACGAGAGCTGCGAGCTATCGACCATGAACGAGACCACATCGCCTACGTACCAGTCTACTAACCCCACGAATCCGTTCCTCAGCGGCAACCTGCAGGCCGAGGATTCCTTCACCAGCTACCAGAACACGTACCCGCAGCAAGATGGTGCGCCACGGTGAGCCGACTATATTACTTCTACCTACATAGCACCCCAACTTAAGAGCGGACCCGAGCTGGAGACATTTGAGAAATAGGTACATAATTTTTATTTTTTTAAAGCATGTAACTGCTTGATGTTTAAATCTAAAGAAAATATAACTAGAAAAAAATCCACGGGGACCAGGCAGCAGACGGGACTCGAACCCTTCGCAATCCGGGTGGATTTAAATAGGTACATATTTGAAAAAACTATTGCTATAAAAATAGTAAAATCCGAGACATTCCCTCCCCTCTTAAGGGCACCCGCTTGTGCCAAGCTTACGAGGCGACATCTAGTCCTCCAACCCCACGAACCCATTCTTCCTGTTATAAGGATTCTTAGGGTGTATTCCGTAATATATACCAGTACACTGGTCTGTGCTAATGACGTCATGAATCGACGCTATACTGGTGAATTGTTCCGAAATGTACAGGCCAGTGCACTGACGTCATAAATCGACGAAATATTAAAAAAAGTGCGAATAAAGAAGATTTTTTTTTCACCTCATCAATTAAAAGGAATTCCTTTTGTTCGGATGCCATTATTGTCCTTAAAATAAAAAAAGAAATAAAATTCGAATGCATCTCACGCATGCTCGGTCATACGTCATTAGTTTTCCCGGTAAAAATATGGTAGCATACCAGTACAATATGGCGTCTTATTCGTGACGTCATTACCACTGGCCAGTATACTGATATATATTTTGGAATACACCCTTAATAACATACTTCTTTTCTAAATATGTCCCTATTTTAATTTCAGAACACAGAGTATGCAAAGTGTTGACTTCTACGCATCATCTGAAGAGGGTGGTTTCGAAGAAGGTGGAGGTAAACCTGGAACCAAGATTAATGAATATCAAGCCGCCTGGAACGTCACCAATGCAATTCAGGTGAGTAATAATCTATTTACCTATGTTTTAAACAACGTGGCCTTATCGTCACTTCATATAAAAGGTAAAGCATTGGCTTACACATGAGATGATTCAATATATTGTTATTTTACAGGGAATGTTCGTCGTGTCTTTGCCTTTCGCTGTTCTTCAAGGCGGCTACTGGGCCATCGCCGCCATGATTGGTATCGCCCACATTTGCTGCTACACCGGCAAAATCCTCGTCGAGTGCCTCTACGAAGACGACCCCGTCTCCGGTCAACGCGTCAGAGTCCGTGACTCTTACGTGAGCATCGCAAAAGAATGCTTCGGCAGAAAGTACGGCGCTCGGATAGTCAACGTGGCCCAAATCATTGAACTTCTCATGACTTGCATCCTGTACGTAGTTGTTTGCGGAGACCTCATGATCGGCACTTTCCCCGACGGTTCCATTGACACCCGTTCCTGGATGATGCTCACGGGGATATTTCTTCTCCCTTTAGCCTTTTTAAAATCCCTGGCTTCCGTCAGTATGCTCTCATTCTGGTGCACAATGAGCCATCTCATCATCAACGCTATCGTTCTTGGCTATTGCATTCTGTATATTGGCGACTGGGGATGGTCGAAGGTGAAATGGAGTTTGGATTTCGAGAACTTCCCCATAAGTTTAGGCGTTATCGTTTTCTCTTATACGTCGCAGATATTCTTGCCTACTCTCGAGGGCAACATGGAAGATCGGTCCAGATTCGAATGGATGTTGAACTGGTCTCATATCGCAGCTGCCGCGTTCAAATCGATCTTTGGTTACTTATGTTTTTTGACTTTCCAAAACGACACCCAACAAGTTATTACTAACAATCTCAGATCATCTGGATTCAAGGGGCTTGTCAATTTCTTCCTTGTCGTTAAAGCGGTGTTGAGTTATCCGTTGCCGTATTATGCCGCTTGTGATTTGTTAGAAAGGGCTCTTTTCAGGGGTAAGCCTAAAACATTGTTCCCTGTAATTTACGCTCTAGACGGGGAGTTGAAAGTTTGGGGGTTAGCTTGGAGGCTAGGTGTTATAATGTTCACGATCTTGATGGCGATTTTCATTCCTCATTTCGCTATCCTTATGGGTTTCATCGGCAGCTTCACTGGCACTATGTTGAGTTTCATATGGCCCGCGTATTTCCATCTTAAGCTGAAAGGCAATCAACTAGAGAGCACCACCATTGCTTATGATTATTTCATCATCGCTTTGGGTGTCCTTTTTGGTGTCATCGGTATGTATGATTCCGGTTCAGCTCTCGTAAAAGCTTACAAAATAGGCTTACCATTCTAAGTCGTCAATGTAGTTTATATAGTAGATAAGTAATTGTTGATCTATTTTTAGATTTACGCATACTTCGTGAATATGTATTTACTGCGCAACAATCACTAGCGAACAATATTATTGTTGAAGGTACGGACGATTTAGAATATGAAGTGTTTTATTGCGATTATATATTAAAAAAGGTTAATAAACGCTCTCTGTATTAGGCAAATTAACCAAATACTATTTATTCGATCGTATCACGCATGTCTTCCATTGCAGAATAGATTTTTTATATATGTATATAGAGTGTAATTTTGAAGTTAGCTATTAATTTATACAATGAAATGATCATACAGTCTTCCATGATTATTATACATTTATTGATATTATATTATGGTATATAATATAACAACGAAGTCTTCCAATAACATCACTTGCTAGAGGGACATAGTTTCCTATAATAAGAAAAAATATCTGCTTAAAAGAATTGATTGATTGCAGACAATAAATTGGATAATTACTAATAAATTAAATTATTAATTAAATATTTATAATTTATAGTGGTTATATAAATATACAAATAAAAAAATATCTGTCTTCCATGAGATTAATAAAGGGCTATGTAATTTATTTTAGATTAAACAAATGTGTCGTTTTTGAATAATTTTCTTAGATTTTCTTAGGTATATACATACTTTTAAATTTAACTTAACATTAAGCAAAAGCCTATTACTGACTCAAGTCAATGTGTTGTAAGTTATTTACTATATACTTAATTTACAAAACTTTAAAACAACAAAAATTTATAATTATCCCGTAGATATGTTATGTTTATATTATTCATATTAAATATTTTAATGTTCAAGGTCGACTAAGAAAACTGTTCTCGTATTTTTAAGCACTTTTTATTTACAAAGATTATTTACTATAGCAAATCAGAACGCTTAAAATATTTAAATAGGTATAAAAAAAGAATTAGGTAATATACTTCAGATTGCGTAATATAATCTTGGTAATTGCTTATTATGATTAAACTACTAAGTTGTTCATTATTTATATTACAGTCAAATTAGCAAATAACGGATGCATTTTATAAATATCAACACAAAGTTATTTCAATTACCTAAGAGACATAAAACTTTAAAACCCGTACTTTTTCAATAGTCTTATTTAATAAAAATGCTTTATTTGTTATTCCTACGGTAGAATTTTTTAAACATTTTTTTGAGAATATATAAATACAGCCCGTCCCACGGCGTTGTCACACGGAGGGAAAGTATATTAATTAAATATTGATATTATCTTCCTCTCATTTAAAATCCTATGATATTTAGAAAGAAATAATACTTGTGATTTAACCTTTCGACGGTTATATCATAAAATACGTCATGTGTTTTAATTCACATTTCACAAGTTAGATTTCCGGTTGTGACAGGTGATTTTTAAAAAGTCTATAAGTGCAGTTCTACTTAATATTAAAAATAAAATGTCTTCTTTCAGTAAAATATCCTATCTTTAATATTTAATATACTTGCCCTCCGTGTGACAATGCCGTGGGACACCCCGTATAGGGAAAATTCTACCGTAAATTGAATGAAACCTCGATCAATATGTCATCCATTTTTTTCGTTATTTACACAAATATTTTGATTTTAAATCAAGCTAGTAAATATTATTCATTAGCTTTATTCAGCTTAGGTACTTAATTAGTAGTTTTAATTTAAACTTCTCGGCGAAAATCTTGAGCAACGATCATAGAAAAGAATCCTGTGCATTAGCAATTTTATATGTATACAAAAATGTCTATTGTACAAGTTCATTTGTCTGTGGTTTTGCTGAAAAAGTTTGCCGCAACCTATACCAGTCTTCCAATTGAAACTTGTATCTATTTGATTTAATTGTATTGTTGTTGATAATTATTATTATGATTAATAAAAAAAAAAAATTGTAGATAACTTTTACTATAAATGTTATTTAGATTAGTAACTTATTCGTATAATCGAATTGGAGTGTGAATTGAATAATGTAAATTGATTAATCGTGGTTTTGATTATTTGTAAAGATATACAATTGATTTATCAATGCAATGGAAATAATTAAGGCTTGCTGACCAGGGGGCCTAACGGAAATGCTTTGGAAAACGCTTTCGATTTTAGTTTGTTATTTCTGAACGCCGAGGGTTTTCAAATACCTCACGCTCATTTTTTTTAATATTGTTATTACCAATGCAAAAGAAAAAAAAGAGCGCAAGGCATTTGAAAACCTCAGGCGGCTAGAAATAATAAAATGAAATTGTAAGCGTTAGCGTTTTCCATAGCATTTCCGTTAGGCGAATGGCCCCCAGGGGTCTACCATTCCCCCTATTACTCTACCAAAGATATGGCATCGATCGCAAAATGTTTTTAATAATTTATAAATAGCTGTTTTTTTATTATTATTGTCAAAGGCAAATCTTAAACAAGAATTTAGAAAGTTTATGTCGGCAAACTCTATGAAAAAACATGTATGCAGGTAATTAAGAAAAATTTTTCTCGCACTCACAAAATTTTCCGTACCATCCAACATAAATTAAATTTTTAATTATTATTTACATTCAGAGAAAATAAATATTACAGCAAAAACGTTGCGAAGATCGTATTACATTTATAAATTTGATACCCTTTTGATTTAAAAACATATTTTTTATAAACCTTACAAATTTTATCAATTAAATAAATATATGAAAAAAGTTATTACTTATATATTTCTTTTGTAATTGTTGTATTGTAAGAACCAATTGTATATCTATATAAATTAATACATATATTATGTAAGAATGTGAACGTACACAATAATTGGGCTTCCACAAAAAATGTCTGTTTGTGATTTAAGAACGCTTGTCTTTACAACTTACTCACCCAATGGTTAAAAAGTCCACTAGACCAGTATTGGCTCTGGGTTTTAATATCTACATACCCACCAAATCAGTGCCGTCTTTGACCTATTGGAGGCCCTGGGCATATTAGGATAATTTGGATCCTATGACCCCCGTTTGGTGATCTAACAAGAACTAGGGACTTTTTATTTGCATTTCTGAGGTGCCCACCTATCGATCACGGGGCCCTGGGCACTTGCCCAAAGTGCCCACTGGGAAAGACGGGTCTGCACCAAATAATGAAACTACTTTGAAAAGAAATAATGTGTCCATTTCTTTAAGAAAAAAATTAATGCACTTTCCCCCGTAGCATGAGTACTACAATTTTACATTGTCACGTTTTTATCGCGTCTCACTGTCAAACTCTACAGTACGATTGAGCGTGATAAAACCTAGCTATATATCATATTGCGGTGTTCATGCTAAAGAGGCTGGGCGGATAATACCTTTGAAAATCGTAAAAAGTGAAAAAAATTTAGAACAGGATGAAAACCAAACCAAAAGGAAGAGAACACATTGACAAAAGAGAAGAAATAAATTACGGAAGATAGATATGAGGTCTGGAAGGGTTTTACTTAAGCTTAGGCTGACCTTTTAAGGAGGGTAAATCGGTTTATCGCGATTTGCGGGAAAACGAAGTACAACTCCTCTCTAAAAAATTCAATCGCAAAATTGTAGGTTATAAAAAGATCTACAACTTCTGAATTTACACTCATTGGTTTTCCATTAGTATAACCGCCCTCAAACATTTTTTTTACAAAATTTGGTGAAAACTTATCTTTCAAAATACCAAACGCGCTGTCAATTATGTGAGAATGTTTGGAAGGGCATATTTTTTAAACTTTACCAAACAAAAAAAATACGATCATTTTTACTTTGTTTACTTAGTAAGGTCTACGTCTTTTCGACTTTGTCGTTATCGGATAAAAGAAGGTATTAAGTACGCATATCAAAAACTACCCTTTTGCTGCGAATTAGCCGTCGATGGCTGTTACAAAACGTGTCACAGGCCAATCGCAGGCATATCAACCGGTACCTACCGTCGACCAATAGGGTCGACTAATAGGTCTGTCTAGGGGCGCGGTGCGGCGAGGCGGGGAAGGGTGCGAGCCACAGAACGCAGAAAGAGGTTAGAAGGGCCTTGTGGGTGGGGCAGGCGCGCCACAGTTATGTGTGAGCAAATGCTCATAACTTAACCAAAACTTGGTTCTGATTGCGTCGTTGCTCTCGGGTGTGAACGCTGATTGGTTCGATTGTTTGATGTCGCGTCGTTTGATTGGTGGATGGATCTATTAGGTGGAAATTAGTGGGGACGAGCCGGCGACGTCGGTTCCCGTGCAATGGCCAACTCGAACCGAACGGCTAGTAATCAGTAACGCCTCAGGATCGAGTGATCTCGAGACTCCAGACGGGGAGGAGACTTACCCCGTGGGGAGATGCCATCCGCCTGAAATACCTCTAGAGGCATTCGCCAATTCTCGGCTTGAGGTCCCCTTAGGATCTCGCCGTACCCAAACCCGGTGACGCTGTAAAGGTCATCTGCGACCAACCGCATACGCACGCAACTCAAAATTGCGTAGTAGGTAATCAGTTATTGGTTGCAAACGGTTGGGTAGATAGTACCTACACTCAAACAGAAAAAATCTAATGGACTTATTAACCATAATATCGAGTAAAAATAATTTTAAACTTTGTTGACGAACGATCTAGCTTATTGGGAAAAAACTACTATTTAGAAATGTATCCAAGTGCAATAATGTTGTATAAATTATAATGAGAAATAAATACATGTATTGTGATGAAATGAACAATTCTAGGTGTGTATTTTAAATAATATAAAATGTTATTCGATTCTGTTAGTTTTATTCGTTACGCAAGGCATGCATGCCATTCCAAACTCCAAGCAATTTTGCCTAGACAGCATAGATGGTAAAAGACACACATATAAAACTATGCGAGAAAATGAGATGGAAACTGGAAAATAAAACAGACTTTTCCTTCAATAGGAAACGACCTGATGATCCTCGAACCCCTCAAAATTTTCACACAGAAACTCTTCAACGTCTTCACAAATTATAGCTAAAAGGAATATCGATTAGGTCAACTTTAAAAAAAAACCCTGTGCATTCGCCCGGATTGCGAAGGGTAAGGGTTGCGCGGGTTCGAGTCCCGTCTGCTGCCTGGTCCGCGTGGAATTTTCTCTAGTTATATTTTCTTTAGATTTAAACATCAAGCAGTTACATGCTTTAAAAAAATAAAAATAAAAATAAACCTTTAAATCGGTCCATTCGTTTACGAGCTACGACGCTACAGTACAGTACCCTTAGCACGAACCAGTATCGAATTCGTAACGTTTGCGAGTCCGAAATGTCATTGTCAAATGTGTACTGATTTTTAATTCTCGTTACGTACTTTATGGCGCTGCTGTTCAAGTTTCCATACAAAATTTGACATTGACATTTCGGTTTGCAAACTATTCGAATTCGATAATGGTTCGTGCTAGACACGTAGTTAGACAAAGGGTTGCCATCCGTAGTTTAAAGGGTGGAGTTTCATTTGTTATCCAGGCTTAAAAATTTCCTGTCATAAGCCGCCAATGGATACGCCAATTGTAATGTCAGTCACCATCAGTAACCATCAGGTGAACTGCTAGTTCGTTTGCCTGCATAAACATAAAAAAACGAGTGTGCTTATGACCACACGACTGAAGTGAAACTTCTTTAGCTCCATCTGTATATATATATAAATTTACATGTATGTACATATACATATTTCATTTACTAGCTATAAGAGAAAGAAAGAAAGAAAATGTGCGCGCGCACAACTTTCTCTTGCTTATATCCCCCACTCAACTCCCATTCGCCTCGCCCGAACACACTTTTCGTAACGTTCGCCAGCTTACCCCCCAAGTCAAGCGTGCGTAAAGAAGTTTCACTTGAAAAACTTGATTTAAGTAGCACATTTTGAACTGGGTATTGGGCTCTAAAATCAGAGGCTTTTACGCGTCCTAGCCGGATAAGTCTAGGTAAACGAAAAGATATATAGGGTTATAGAGGAGAAATAAGGTTATGAGGAACAACAGTAGGTAGATAATGATGACGAATCTGGCATGATTCTCTAAACCTAAACTAAAATTTGACAACCGTGTATCCTTGTCGTTCTCTATACGGAATGAAAAGGAGAGACTGATGTTAAATTTAGAGAATCATGCTTTATTCGTCCCCAATGTAAGTATAGCTAGGTAAGTACCTAAGTAATGTATGAATCATTTGAATAATTATTAATGGTATTTATCAGTACGACTGCTCGAATTGGATCGTCTGTCTGCTGAATAATAATGAAATTCGGACAATACAACTGTTGACAACCAACACCGCTACCATCCTCTTTCGGCCAGTATAATTATCCAAATTCTAGTTCTATGTTAAAAAACCTTCAGCACCCTCCTTTTGTAAAAATGTTTAATGACAGTGCCAGATCTTACGTTGACCAGTACCCCTAGCACGAACCAATATCGACTTCAAATATATTGCGAGTCCGAAATGTGTTGTCAATAGAAACTTAAACAGTACCTAGCGCCACAAAGTACGTAACGAGAACTAAAAATGAGTACACATTTGACAATGACATTTCGCACTTGCAAACTATTAGAATTCGATATTAGTTCGTGCTACGGGTACTGAAAGCGTGTATTATTTCCGGTCCATTACAACAACAACAATTCTGGGTTCAAAACGTTTATAGGTACTATGGAAAAATAAATCAGATCAATATGTATATAAAAGAATGATTGATTTGATCAAAACGACCATGACCAATTAATGACCAATATTCTGTGTTCAGCTGGGAAATTGGGTTTAGTTATTTGCACGTTTTTGTGCCGCAAGCGCAACAGTTAATTTCCCAAATGTTCTCGAACTGCCCACTCAGACCTAACAGCGGGTGGAGTTATTTATAAGATGTTACAGAAACTATAATGAAGTAAATATAGTTAACTTTTAGTCTCAAATTCAAACAGCAATCAAATGGGCAATAAAAACATAACAAACGTGTTTTAAATTGAAACTGCGAACTAATTGAGCGGACACGTGACAAGCCGCCTGACGCCATTACAGGCCGCCATGTGCCGACAAAATGGACGTCCGCGTTCGCGCATGCGCGCTACTCGCACTATGGGCTGGTTGGGTGCAAATTACGGTAAGAAGAGTAATTAAATTTTATTGATTTCTTCTGATAAGTAAAAGTAAGCTGGAATAAAGGTATTTCAAAAGTAACCTTGGACACTGAAGAAGCAACCATTAATCTGCAAAGACTGCCAATTAATAACATCGAATAATAATATCTAAATAGCAGTTAATCTTCAATTAACTTAATTTAGGGTGTTACTACCGGACTCATATTTAAATTTCAAGCAAGTGTAATGGATAAATAGATAGCTATCTGTTCATCACATTGAAATTTAAATATTTCAAAGGTAACCTTAGGAACAAGAGAAGAGGCCCATTTTCCATCGGACGTCTAGACGCACTGCAGGCATCAAACGATTCTCAACTTCTTTTATAATTCGTACAGCGAAGGAGTGGAATTGCCTGCCTGCATCTGTGTTTCCGAGTGCATACAATCAAACCCTTGGTAATGTCACAGTGAATAAGTTGCTTTTGGGTAAGCTTTCTACATCGTAGATCCCATCTCTGTACTCGGACTGGATAAGGTTCAAGAGCAAACCCATATCTTGTCTTGTGTATATCTGTCGGTTCTTAGAAGCTAGATTAGGTTTATTATTGTCTTGTCTCATCATCGTTGTCATGTTGAACATAGCCATTAAGGGGTTTTGTAAAAATAAAGTGTTATCTATCAGGCTCCTTACATCGTAAGAAACCACCCTTGCTGCCTGGACCCCAACGACAATCTGACGCTGGCCATGATCATCGATGCGTTTGAGATCTACGGGCACGACCCCACGGACAAGCTCGACAATCTGTGGCTGTACCAGAACGAGATGCTCCGAGTTAAAACAGCTGAAGATCAGGTAGATATTATTTGTTTCCAATTGTATCATCCCTAGAGTGGTACCCGCTAAAAGAAGATAAACTATTATTACGGAGGTTAAATTGAATATAAAAGTTTGAGACTATGAGCGTCCAATACTTTCTCGTCTACGCATGTAGATATGTAGGTAATTTACCAAAAATATAAGTCTACTGAAAGTACTATACTAAGTATTGTAACCTTTCAGTAGTTTAAGTATGATTTGCGTAGGCTAGAATTTATTAGTCGCTCCGGAGAAGCTCTCATCCCCTTCCTCGAATTATACTATACCTCTCCCGAAAATAGCCTATGTCCTTTGATCTTTTCCAACTATTTTAAAATCAGTTCAGCATTTAAGGCTTGTAAACGTAACATAGCTACAGATAGACAGAATAGTTAGGTAGGTCCTTTAGAAAATATATAATTTATTAGCTAGCAATGGTTTTGTACTTTGTACTCTTATGAAATTCTCTTAACCAAAAATTATTAAACAACCTTAATAAAGATGCGCCAAGCTCTGCTTACGGGGTTTAACCTCATGGTGATTTACGGTAAACGTTTTTAGCCATATTCTTATAATGATAAGGAAGACCTGCGTATGTCTGTGATAATTTGACAACCCTTATTTTTACTAATAAAATCTGTTTTCAGTACATGATCAACGAGCGAGTACACATCGCAACGGACCATTTGGGGCGTTTCATAAAGCTGCATATTCAAGAGTTGAAGGTCATTATCTGCATTTTAACAAAATACAAGAATCAATCTAACGCATAACTCATTAAGTTACCCCTTTACTCTCACCCAGAGAAGTCCGCCGGTTGGTATGGTAACGGGCTTATGTGGGTTTCCTCCACCCTCCTACCGTCTACCACCTAAGCTCTTCAAAGGACTGACTCAATCTAGTCCCTTCTATCAGGGTCAACCTGATAGAAGGGACCCACCTCCCTATTGGAGGCAAAGGTAGATGGTGTATCAGTTTTACATGCCACGCCATCCATCCTCACATTGCCAGCCAGGACAATAGCTTCTCTACGCCTATATGAAGGACTCCGTCTTGTAGGAATTTGTATAAAGAAAAAAGAAAAAGAAAAAAAGGAAATTCTAACAAGATCTGGATAAGATAGTTAAATAATATCAGTTATATTCAAAGGTGCTCCTGATAACTCTGGATGATGTGATAGACAATATGCTGACGATGTACGAAAACCACAACTCAATAGCTGCAGAAAGGAAGGCGACCTACACGGGAGGACCAGTGCCTATGGAATTTTATCTCAGTCAAGGTGTTGCACATTTCTCATAGTATAACTTATTAAATGTTTACTCGATGTAGTACAAGTCATCGTTCGATCGTTATAGTACGCCAGAAATTCCTAAATATAAATATTAAAACATGAAAATATTTCACTTTTGTCAAAGATATTAGATGTTTTGACCATAGGAAATTTAAATGAAGCTATCGCAAGCTTATTAAATAAATAAATATTTCCAACACTCACACCAATTAGCGTCGCCCCAAAGAAGCACTGTAAGGCTTGTGTTATGGGATACTAGGGTAACGGATAGGAATACATATACTGTACATATATAAGTATATTTATATAGAAATACATATTAAACATCCATGACTGGAGTACAAATACTCGTATTCATCACACAAACATCTGCCCCCACCGGGATTCGAACCCGGGACCTCTGGAGTCGGCGACACCATGAAACCCGGCGTTCAAACCACTCGGCCCCGGAGGTCGTCAATTAAGAAATCCATTAACCAAAACCTGGACATAAATTGCATCTTTTATGCCCAGTTTCATAATTAGCAAGTCAATCATGAAATGGCAGCATTTATACCCAGCAGCCATCTTTGGAAGCCTCAATCGTGCTAAAGAAATTCAGAGGCAATCACATCATACCTACAATGCCCGACCAACATCATCAAGCTACCATCAGTCACCGCGGTGGAACATCCTCCCCTTTGGGCTTCCTACAGGGTTGTCCTAGATCCTATTATATCAATTTCCTCTAAAATATAAAAAAAGGCTTACGGCCGCTCTCGGTAAAGTCAAGTATATTTTAAGTATGACTAAAGTTGATATTGTCATTTTCTTTCCGAAAACAATACAATGAACACAACACGTGACTTAATGAAGCATTAAATTAATTTGTCGTTTGAGTATGTCTGCTGCTATGTGAAAAGAGATATGTTTTTTGGTGTTTCCAGAATTCTACTGTGGCAAAAACGTGTACATATTCGTGTCAGAGTTATACACTGACATTTACAACATGGGCCGCGGAGTTGCACCTTACTGTAAAGACAGGTACTTTAAACTAAGAAGGTTGTAAGATACTGTCCAAGACTTCGTCTACGTAGGATAATAGATTTTTCATTTTTTTTTTTATATAGTCAGGTAGGCAAATGACTCTACCCCACCTGATGTTTGGTGGTGATAAAGTCCAAACGCGAAGATAGCTGGCACAGCAGTTATAAACTGCCACACCAACCATCCTCACCTTGCCGGCCTGCAATATAAAACACCTAACAGACATTTCCCCTAGAACTTGAATCTAAAGGTTTGAAATAAATGTATGGAAATGACGATCTCCAAGGATGCAAACCTAACATATTTTTTTATTATTCCATGGTTAAGATAGTTTAGGTTAGGTTAGGTTGCCCAGCACACCTTAGAGGTGTGTTCCGCCTGGGAGTCCCAGCGCCGCGCTTGGTGGTTGTGATAGAAGGGGAACTCTCCCTGCCCGCAGTGGTTAGGGTCATACTGGACAGCGAGAGGGTTTGGCTGGTGATGGCCTCATTCTGCGACGAAGTCATGGCGCAGAAAGAGGCCGCGGAGAGGGTTCGCGAGGGCGCTGCCCACGCGGCCCTAATCCGACATAGACGGCAGGGCGGTAGGAGGCGTGCATTTGACCGCGTCCTTCCGTTTTAATCGAAGCCAGCAGGCGTGGATTAGGTAAATTCACGCCTGCATTGCACGGCCTTGACAGTCTGGGGGTGATGCCTAGATTTGCTTAGGCATCACCCCGACCGTGGAGTGGCCCGGCGTGAAGCCGGGCCCCGCCGGGGCGGTGTGGTTTGATTCCCAATAAGGAATCCACGCCGTCATATCCGGCAGAGTAGGGCACATTCCGGAGTTTTAGTGGGTAGGGGCCCCCCAACCCGAGCAGCCACACATAACCCCGTCGCCTTAACCAGCGGCGGGGTACCGTATGCGTCATGCATTTCTCCGGGTCAAAAAAAAAGGTTAGGTTAGGTTATACAGTAACTAAAGTACGAGTATATTAAAATTTAATAATATTGTTGGATCCAGTCCAACCAAACTTACAACTCGGCGATTAAGCAGATGTATAGCAATAGGATCCCTACTCTTGACTATGCCTATAAGTTTCAGTAGCCATCATCATCATCTACAGCCTATTAATGTCCCCACTGCATGGGCACAGACCTTCCCTATGGATGGAGTTGGGAGATTGGACCGTGACCCGCCACGCGGGCCCATTGGAGAATGCTAACGACTGCTGATGCAGCCGAGACAAACGGCTTAACGTGCCTTCTGAAGCACGAACCACAGATATTTAACTTTCACGATCGTAGGTCGAATGCGCTAACCACTTGCGCCATCGAGCTCCTCCTATAAGTTTAAAATAAGTTTCAGTAGTTACCAGTACTACTATTGAATATTTCAATAATTTTCAGGTCTTTCGTATTCCTCGGCTTCCTACATTACCACGACGAGCAGAAGTACTACTTATTAGACGATCCAAGCATTTCTTTCCCTACCGACAACTACTTACACGGACTGGAGTGCCAAATCGGTGTCTGTGTGTTCAGGTAATGTATGTGTGAGGGATGAATTTTAAGAGGCAAGGCGCCCAATGTTCTCTGTTCATTGTTCAGTATTCTTCTGGATTCCGTACCTGAAAAGGAAAAATCAGAACCCCTATAGGATCAATTTGTTGTCCGTCTCTCTGTCAAGACCCTTTTTCTCGTGAGCGCATGGAGATATCGAATTGAAATTTAAACCATAATATACTCAGGTCTACTGTCCCTTGAACCTGCAAAAATTAAACATCTGTGTTAAGGCAAAAAAGACACGGCTATTTATGTTGCGTACCTACAAATTTGTACGAAACCCTCGGTAGGCGAGCCTGACTCGCACTTGTCCGGTTTTTTTAAATGGGTCTAAACATACAACAACGCCCCTGATTTTATATGGCGGCGAAGAGCTGAAGCGAAGATATCTAGTGCAGCAGTATTGCCTCCCACACCAGCCTTATTCACCTTAAAGGCTAGTTGCTTCTTTACGCCTCTTTTCAAGGACCTGGGGTACCAAGAACAAGGGAACATTTCCATGGACAAAAAAAATTGCGTGCGTCACAAATTGACCCATGATTCAGCAATACTCTTTGTTCGGGTTGGAGTGTGCATAGTAAGTCACTAATCGAGTGCTTGTAATCCTCTGAAAGAAGGGGGAAGGTGGGATAAAGGAAAATAGCTTACGGTATATCCTGATTTTGTTGTCATCCGAAAAAATAAGACCGCCCTATACTTTCTTAGCTACATATACTTTTATATATTATATTTTTCCTGTTAACAATAGACCAGTTACCCTGTTCTAAGCATACATGGAACCCAGATCGAGATTCTCCATATCATTATCATTATGAGTTTATTTAATGCCCCCACTGGGGTACAGGCTTTCCCTATAGGGAGAATAGGGAGATTGGGCTATGACCCACCACGCGGGACCAGTGCGAATTGGTGGGTGCTAACGACTGCGGAAGCAGCCGGAACCAACGGCTTAACGTGCCTGCCAAAGCAGGAGGAGCTCGAGATAGTAAATTTTTGGTCACCCATCCTAAGACCGAGAACTGCGAAAGTTGCTTAACTTCAACGATTGCAGCCGAACGCGCTAACCACTCGCGCCATCAAGCTCCTCGATGATCGAGTTTCACCAAATACAGCGCTGTTTTCCATATCCAAGGTTTCCGTTCAAAAAGATACTTCAACAGACCAGAGACGTGTCCACTTTGCCCAAGGCTATAGTCAAGTGCGGCCTGGTGATGTACAAGCTGCCGCCACTGAGTGCCACCTCATGTATAATCGCATCGGGGTCCTTCATCCTGGACTTCAATATACAGGGCTTGCGGTACCGGCATCATGATTTCCTACTAGTAAGAAACCTTGACCTATATTCTTTATTAACAGCTTTCTAATATGGGGATATTGGAAACCCTTGCAATTAAACCTATACCATCTTCATAAGGTTTTTCTAATGTCATCACTGTTAGGTACTGATTTTCGACAAAGGTACAATCACGTAAGGAACAGTCCTCGTACCGCGTAACTACATATAAGAAGAAGAAAGAAAAACATCTATTGACGACTTTAACTCAGTTACAATAAGGTTACAATATGGTCGTCAATTCTATTCCATCAATAGGGAAGCCCTGTGCTCCAGCAGTGGGGACATTAATAGGCTGATGATGAAGAGCAGCTCTGCGTCGGGAGATCTGCCTCACGCAGCTGTGCTCTAAGAAATAACATGAAACGTGCTCCCGCTTAACGCAGCGCAGGCTCTTACTCAAACAAACGTGCAGCAAGCTCGAAAACGTTTTTGTTTAAGTATTTATTTTTATTAATTTTGTTCATGCAGACTACACCAAACGGCCATACTTATTACACCAAAGAGCCTCGTACACCACTGATTTGCGACCATCACGTGTGCGAATGGAATTACACGAATCATTACGGGGGTAAGTTTTCATAATTAATTCTATCAAACGGAAACAGGATGCAGCGGATGTTTCCTAGCCGATATTAAATACCCTAATTACACCAACACGAACAAAATCTTGCCCGAAACCTCGGTAAAGTCAAGTAAGAGTTCAAGCACTTCTTGATTGGGATACATTTTGAGCGGACGTGGTGTACCTGGGGTATTTAAATATCGTTTCCGAATGTGCATAGAATTATAAAGGTGCGTCCAGGCTATATAACGAAATATTTCATAATAATTAATATATAATTATTTGCATGTTAAAATACAAAACTAAATACGAACCAACAAGTAAGAACGTGTAGACATTTTATATACGGAAATGCTAAATACTTCCGGACACATTCGGCCTACTTCGTGTTCAAAAAATCAGCTTTAAAACTGCGTAGGTAATAACTTTTTGCTCAATGTAATATTTACTGAAGTGAAAACTTCTTTAGCGACGAAAATTCGTAAGACGAATACAATAAAATTGGAAAGGTTTTTTTACAATAGATGTCGCTAGGTGCGCTTAAATGTGATTCATGTAAGTTGATTTTTCTGAGAGATAAACTTTTTAATGTAAATAAATTGTCATGTTTGAGTACGATAGCGCAATAAATAAATATTGTATTCTACCACATAAAAGATTGTACTTTTATACTAATAATTAAAGCAATTCGTGCAGAATTATTCCCTAACCATGACAAAATATCAAAAATGCTCAACGTTGATATTCAAGTTTTCACTTCTACCGGCACTCCCGGAGTGCAACCCGTCGTTTTTTTTAGCTAGGGACCGTCAATACAAAACTTACAATGCTAGGTGGGCGGATAGATGTGTCCGACACATGTGACACATCTATCTATACATATAGACAGACATAGACTTAGATAATCTAGACGCACTTTAAAGTTGTTATTGATACAATTTTTGTGCTGGACCAATAAATTTTTTTTCTTTACATTTATACATATATCTAGCAGTTAAAACCTTATAGTAGTAACCCTAAACACGAACTATTATCGAATTCGAATAGTTTGCGAGTCCGAAATGCCATCGTCAAATTTTGTATCAAAACTTTAACTGCAGCGCCATAACGTACGTAACGGGAACCTAAAAATCAGTACACATTTGACAATGACATTTCGTACTCGCAAACGATACGAATTCGAGATTGGTTCGTGCTAAGGGTACTGACGTAATACACACTCTATTGCCATACGTACCTATCTACTTATACATGACGACCTCCGTAGTGGTTTATACGCCAGGTTTCATGGTGTAGCCGACTCGAGAGGTCCCGGGTTCGAATCCCGGTGGGGACAGATGTTTGTGTGATGAATACGAGCACTTGTACTCCAGTAATGGATATTTAATATGTATTTCTATATAAATATACTTATATATGTACAATATATGTATTCTATCCGTTACCCTAGTATCCCATAACACAAGCCTTACAGTGCTTACTTTGGGGCTAGGCTAATTGGTGTGAGTGTTGGAAATATTTATTTATTTATATTTATTATACAGATGTTCACGTTTGCAGGGCCGTTCGATGTCCCCGGAGAGCCGGGCAACATCGACATCATCATACCATACGTGGAGCCCACGCCGAAACCGGACGAGCCTGTGGACAACATCACCGTGCCTTGTAAGAAACACTCGAGTTTTCCAGTCCTTTATGATTTCAAGGCCTCAGCTCAACCCAAGTAGTCAAGTTCGAACCCGCACCCTTCGCTATCCGGGCGAATGCACTGACCAATTATGCTACCGCGACCCTGATGGCCGCGTCGAAATTCTTCTAGCCATTATTAAGCTGCAAGGCAGCGCCATCTCTTTGCATTGTGAAATGAATACTTTTACAAGTATTAAACATTTGAAAGAAGAAAAAGCAATTATAGTTATAATTTCTAATTTTTAAGTACTTAAAGTAGTAGTTAAGAGATGGCGTTGCTTTGCAGCTTAAGAATGGCTAGAAGAATTTCGACGCGGCCATCATGGCCGCGGTAGCATAATTGGTCAGTGCATTCGCCCGGATAGCGAAGGGTGCGGGTTCGAGTCCCGTCTGCTGCCTGGTCCGCGTGGATTTTTTTCTAGTTATATTTTCTATAGATTTGAACATCAAGCAGTTACATGCTTAAAAAATATAAAAATATAACTAGAGTCAAGTTTCCAAGATAGCTGATGCACAGACAAAAGCGCCACTGCAGTCATCATCACCCAACTTGTCAGTTAAAACCCAAACTTCTATGCCCGTGGAAGCCTACTCAACGATAGGAACAAGAACTGTAGATACCCCTAGCACGAACCAATATCGAATTCGAATAGTTTGCGAGTGCTTAATGTCAATGTCAAATTTTGTATGAAAACTTGAACAGCAGCGCCCACAACGAACGTAACGAGAACTAAAAATCAGCACACATTTGACAATGAAATTTCGTACTCGCAAACGATACGAATTCGAATAGTTTGCGAGTACAAAATGTCATTGTCAAATTTTGTATGGAAACTTTCCTGTATTTTTCACTTTGGCACTGCTTGTATATAGTTTCAACGACGTGCTTTGTATTGTAAGTTATATGCGAAAACGTGTTAATGGTGTTTTGTGTTACATTTATTTATAATTGCTGATAAAAAAAAACCGTACGTTTTCGGAATAAAATAAAATAAAATAAACTTGAACAGCAGCGCTACAATGGACGCAACGAGAACATAAAATCAGTACATATTTGACAATGACATTTCGCACTGGCAAACTATTCGAATTCGATATTGGTTCGTGCTAAGGGTACAGTACCCCTAGCACGAACCATTATCGAATTCGAATAGTTTGCAAATCGAAATGTCAATGTCAAATTTTGTATGGAAACTTGAACAGCAGCGGCACAAAGTACGTAACGAGAACTAAAAATCAGTACACATTTGACGATGACATTTCGGACTCGCAAACGTTACGAATTCGATATTGGTTCGTGCTAAGGGTACTGTTGTCTTCTGAGGCCTAAGCATGAACTTTTACAGCTGCGTAATCGTATCGTCATCGTCAAATTTTGTATGGAAGGAGCTAGTATGTTCTAGCGTCCGGTAAGCGGCGATGCTTAGTTTTCATAGAATCTTTGGCGATGCGTTACAAATACAGAGTTGTTAGCAAATTCTAGCTTGGGTCTCCAAAATGTGGCATTTGCGTGCCGGTGCCGAATGGGTTATGTATTGATATAGAGACCTAGGTATAATTATTATTTTAAGCTTGTAGGTAACTGCCCGATGCTTAAATCTAAATAAAATACGGTGCGGTTTCAAGTCCAATCTACTGCCTTGTCAGCGTGGTTTTTTTTCTAGTAATATTTTCTTTAGGTACCTGTTTTTTTATGGTGGCGACAGCTCCAGATACCACTGTAATCGATTACAAGCCGCTCGTATATATGAAGTCTTAAGCCAACGTGTTTTTTTTATAGCTAGGCAAATGACGATATCCCACCTGCTGTTAAGTGGTGGTAAAGTCCAGATGCAAAGATAGCTGGCGCAACAGTTATAAACTGCCACACCAACCGAAGCATTTTTTCAAGGTCTCAAGATAATCAATTTCTGGGCACCTACCCTAAAATAGGCCATTCCGAAACTTGCTTAACTGCCATCATCGTGAACCAAGTACTCCCAATTAATTAATTCATAATAATATCAATATAATTCAGATATATTGGAAGGCTGCCTGTTCATGTACCCACCGAACTACGGATCCATCGCCGGGAAGAGTTACCTGGACACTGTGGATCTACACGACGACAGGTTCACGTGCAACGCCGCGGGAGGAAACAATAAGGTAGGTGCCTGTCCACATCACCACGTCACGACGACGCCGCGACGTTGGACGTCACTGCATTTTAAAATTCCGGTACATTCTTCAAAGACGTACCACGTCGTCGTAGCACTCTTTCGTAGCCATGTCGGCTTACGACAACGTCATTTTCCCACACGGCTCCCCCTCAGGTTTGAATGGTTTAGAGGCTTCAGACGAAGAGGAGACTCCCCCCCATGGAGAGATGCCATCCGCCTGGAATACTTCTAGAGGCACTCGCCAATTCTCGGCTTGAGCTCCCCTTAGGATCTCGCCGTCCCCAAACCCGGTGACGCTGTAAAGGTCATTTGCGACCAACAGCATACACACTCAAAAACAAAAAAATCCCACACGGCGACGTTGCCATGTCGTGCACTACCACGACCCGCATCGCACTATTCCACGTTAACGACGTCGTGACGTGGAGATGTGGACAGGCCCATAAATGAACGACATCGAGAATAGTAATCCAATCCTTGTTCCTAATTAACGTTATAAATGTGCAAGTTTGTAATTTTGTGTTTGTTAATAAATCAAGAAAAAAGTACTGATTGGATTTGGATGAAATTTGGTACGCATATAGTTTATGACCTGGATTAAGACATACTTTTTATCCTGGAAAAGTGTTAGGTCCCTGTGGCATTCTCAAAAAACTAACTTAATGTGGAATAAATCGCGGGCGGCCGCTTCTATGGTGCAGGTTCCACTTTATTAAACTTACATATTATCCGACTTCGTCTTTAGTTTGACAGGGGTAGCCACAAACATAGATCGAAATAAATAACCTCCATGGTGGAGTGGTATGTACCTACACCGACTTCCAAGGTGTCGCCTATTCAGAGGTCCTGGGTTCGAATACCAATGGGCCAAATGTTTGTATGGTGAATACGAGCATTTGTACCTATAGTAAGGCCAACGAGAAGCGATACAACAGTTCAATCACCTTACACGAGACTATGGGACTGTCAGCCTTTCTATCTCTTTCATCTCATACAAATGACATTCGGTCTCGTTCGGTCATATCACGTCATCAAAATAAAGTGACGCCACACGTGGTATAGAGTTCGCCAACATTGGGGCGCCTATTTTATATTAAAAAATAAGTATTTCTATTTCGTTCCGTCTTTCCGATACAACTCGATTTAATAACAAATATTTTTTGTTCTGGTGAAATATTTATATTTATTGCTTGGTGTTAATCCACAGGGTCTGTACTGGTATCCACAATGGATGGGTGCGGTGCCCCATCACCCATACTCGTCATCGCTGGGGGACCAGAAGGACGCTTATCAGCAGTCCTCGAACGCGTTCTACCCGCAACAGAAAGACGACGACGGCGATGACGACGTAGATTAAAAATAAACTATGCCGTTTTCTAATGGTTTGTTTTATTTACTTACGGATTTTTTAAGTGAAACTTCTTTACGCACGCTTGACTTGGGGGGTAAGCTGGCGATGGCGTTACGCGTTACAAAAAGTGTGTTCGTGCGAGGGGAACGGGAGTTGAGTAGGGGATATAAGGAAGAGAAAGCCGTGCGCGCACATTTGCTTTGTCTTTCTCTTATAGCTAGTAAATGAAATATGTATACCTATATACATACATGTATATATTGTAAACAAATATATATAATACAGATGGAGCTAAAGAAGTTTCACTTCAGTCGTATGGTCATAAGCACACTCGTTCTTTTTTTTAATAATCCTAAAAATAATAATTAATGCTCACTTAAAAATACAATTAGTAACCTAAAGGTTAGTTTAGGTTAACAGTTGTTTGTGACTTCGTTTTTGTTTTCCATACAAATTTCCACCCATTTTTCCACCCTCTTACATGATGATCGAATATAAAGTATTCTGTCAGCTATTGCTTGTACTAAAATTATCTAAATCGATTCAGCGGTTTAAGCACAAAATAGAGAATGGTTAAGCATGAAGAGGTAACAGACAGACACACTTTTGCATTTATAATATTAGTTCGAACTTTGGATTTAATCTAATAAATAAAATTCTCATGTCACGGTGTGCGTAATTGAACTACTCCGAAACTCCTCGACCGATTTTCGTGAAATTGTATATGCATATTCAGTAGGTCTGAGAATCGGACAACATCTATTTTTCATCCCCCTTAATGTTAAGGGTTACCTGACCCTTACCACCCTTAATTTGTTTTTTCGACAAAATTTTTTGTTTTTATTTTTATGATACCTTTTATACCTTTTTACCTTTTATAAGCAGTGCCCTTGTACAAATTTCTTGTTCCTGTTCTTATCTATTTTATTGTGTGTGTACTAAATTAGTAAATAAATAAATAAATAAAAAATACCTACATCATACAAAAATACAAGCCTAAATTTTCAATACAATGAGACGTAGGAAAGGAATGCTGAATCACCTTTAATAGTTGATAAGTTTAATATATTACCTGTTTTATGTTTGTGTAGAATAAGTAGGTTACCTTTAAAGAATCTTTTGCAGAGTGCTCATGAAATATGCATGAGTGGTTAAATTTCTTTTACAATTTCAGTTATTTTTACTAAACCCATTAAAAACAACAATATGGTGTTCAAGTTTCACTTTATATTATTGTTTTTTACAATATACAGGGTTAATTTTAAAACACCAACAACCTCTTAGAGGGTGATTCTAGCCATCAACAGGAACAACTTTTATTACGGGACCAACACTGAAATCGCGCAAAAAAAAGTGCTGTTTCATACACAAGTGCATCAGCTAATCGACCGAAATGTATGAAACAGCTGATTTTGTTTTCGTGGACCCATAATAAAAGTTGTTCCTATTGATGGATTATATATGTTACGAAAAATTTACATATAATAAAATAATGTGCATAATAATATAAATAAAATATTTATTTTTTTAATATCTAAATATAACTTTCTAAAAATCTACACTCTATTTGACTACCTCGTGGTAAAATGAAAAATGCTGGTGTACCTGCTTTTAATTCAAAATATTTGGTCTTCAACAAGTCTCCAAGAATCTTCTTTGGGTCTATAACATGAGGCATCTTGTCGTAACCCTCAAAGTAAACGTTGACTCTATCGACAGTGTACTTGTTATCTACGTCCCACGGTGCAGGAAATAATTGTTGTAACTGGTTTAACAATGGGACATTTTCTGGACAAGCTTTCACAAAGTCAGTCATCTGATATTCAGGGTACAGGAACAACACTGGCCATTTAAGGATCCCATTATCTATATGGACGATAGAATCCTGCGCGCCTGGTAAACTAGGCTCTAACTTTGACAGATCAATATCTTCCTCATCATCACAATTAGATATTTTTATACCTCTATCAATAATAGCTTTAATAACACCTTCTTTTTGTTCAAGACTTTTTGCTTCGCTTCGCTCTTTCTTCCTCTGGTCACGCTCTTGAAACATCAGCTTCTTTTTAGCAGTATTCAATAAGTCTATAACTTCTTTGTCTTTCGGTTCTGTGTCAAGGAGTTTTTGACAATGTTCAATACACTTATTGTACTGTGCCACTTCTAACGCTGATTTGGCAGCTCTTAACCTAGCTTTTGAATGGCCAGGATTAAAAGACAATGCTCTCTCACTGTCAAATAATGCAGAACGATAGTTCTTTAAGTGCCATTGTGCTGCAGCACGGTTATTGTATAAGCTTGCATTGATTTCAATATTGTCACATTTTTGCTTAATGCCTTCTGTGTAACTGAAAAAGTATAAAATTTCAATTAACTAACTATTATTATAACCAAAAAATTAACAACACCTCAATTTTGCATGCTTATGGCTAGGCTGCTATATGAGAAACATAAAATATATTTATAACTAGCTGACCCAGTGAACTTTGTACTGCCCAACAGTAATAATTTACAATAAAATAAAATTGCTACTTTAGATTGAGATGTAAGCTATTCTATCTTTCAAGATGGATCAAACTGCATGTGGTGTGCAAATTTGATTAAAATTGGTCAAGTAGTTTAGGAGTCCATCCCGACAAACAATGTAACAAGTGACAAAATCCACGCAGACCAGGCAGCAGACGGGCCTCGAACCCGCACCCTTCGCAATCCGGGTGATTGCACTGACCACTATGCTACCACGGCCCTGACAGGGCTGGTTTGAGTCCCGTCTGCTGCCTGGTCCGCGTGAATTTTCTTCTAGTAAACTTATCTTTAGATTTAAACATCTACCAGTTAAATGCTTAAAAAATAAAAACAACACCTATTAGTAAAATTGAAAATTTTTGATAGAAAGTTCTTATACAGCATCTTAAGGTAAAAATTAGTTAAAGAGCCTTACCCTAAAATAGCCAATCTGTAGTTTTTATGTTTGAAATTGAAGTTGCCATCTTCTTTGTAATTATTTGCCAATTCCAATACAGTGTTCTCCTCAGGGTCGTACTTTAGCTTTGCTAACCCTTCAGCTAGAGGTGACAATTCACCATTTGCATTTGGTGAAGATTTCATGAAAAATGGATGTTTGTCCATTTCTTCCTGCAAAGACATTACACTTGTTAGTAAAAAGTATATATGCAACCAAATGAAGTTAAACAAGCTGTTCTCATAACAAAAACATTAAAATCATGACTGCCGTTAAAAAAAAAGTAACTTAATTTCGACATTATATTTGATTTGGACCTTTTCAAATGATACTTATATTGTAATAATTAGAAGACTTGAATTTTAATTGACATAAATATTGTAATTTTGACATTACCGTTATTTTAATTTTTACAGGTTAGGTATCCAATGTTACCTAGGATAGTGAAAAGATTCTAATGATACCACACCACACACATCTGAATCGGTTCAGATGTTTAGAAGTTATGGTGGAATAAAGAATGTACATTTTTTCTTGTGTAAAAATTGTTTTGACTTTTAAGTTGAATTATGAATATTCAGTATTTTTCAAAAAAACAAAACTATTTCTTGAGTAAACATCAATCAAAACTAAATCTAAATATCAAATATTGACATATACAAACTATCTTGAGACATATTGAAGTACAGATTAGATTTCTTCAGTGATGGCTTCCTCAGAATTTGGCCAATATCTGGTGTTTGTGTCCAAAATTTCTTGTCTAGCTTTGTTCGGTGAGGGCTTGTTTATTGTTTTTAAGTATATGTCAAGTTTAAGGAAAAAAGGTACCTACACTAGTTTTAAATAATTACCTGCCAACGATCTTCTGGCCATCCTTCTGTATATCTCTTTCGCTCCAAGCTGTTTATAAAATCGTCCAATTCTTGGTCTAACTTCTGACACAGAGCTAGTCTCTCTTCACCAGTCATAGGCTTTTTAGCCTCTGTATCACACTTTTCCTCGGTCATTGCTGGAGTTTCTAGGGCAAATCTGATTACCTGCACAACTTTATCTCATAGGTCTCATGAATCAACAGATTGCATCAAAAAATTTAGTAGATGTCTACTTCGTAAAAGATGAACAAATTATTTCAATGAAAACAAGCAAGCACGACGAAAATAACCTCAAACTAAATGTCAACATGACATTGACATATGAAACATATTTTTGTAATTTTCTCCACTTGTAAGAAGAAAATAATAATACATACAGCCTAGTCTTTAGTGATATCGATTCTGGCATGAATCTCTAAACTTAAAATTAAGAACATCAGTCATTCCTTTTGATTCTGTATAGAAAATGACAAGGATACACTGTTGCAAAATTAAATTTTTAGTTCAGAAAATCATGCCAGAATCGACACCCGTATATTTCTTAAGCACTGAACTAGCTGACCCGTTGAACTTCGTACCGGTAACAATAATTTAAAGGAAATGAAAGCTGTCCATTTTACAGAAACACAGCTTTTACCATTTTTAATTAATATTTTTTAAACACAATATATAACAGAAATAATAAAGTAACTGGCTGCTTAACTAAATTAGATGTTCTTTTCTTGTTCTTTGTTAATTTGACATCCATCCGATTATTTATTGCCAACAATCAAATAGAAAAATCACTTCTGAAATTCTTAGAGCCTTTCAATAATTAATTAGCCTTTTGTTACTTTCCACGATATGCCTTTCGCTCCTGAATTAAGAACTCATGCCCAAAAAGTTTGCACTTTATATAAAAAAGCTTGCAGACTTATAGAAGGCTATTATGTGGCCAGGTAAGTTTATTAAAATAACTAGTATAAAGTGAGTGCCCGCAATTTGACCTGCGTCGAAATCTCGACTAGACAGTCATACAACTTTCATCTCTTCATTTGCCCTTTTGCGTAATAAAAAGTATCGTAAAAACGTCATGGTTCGAAAAAAGGCTCCGAGCTTCAGCATTTGAAGCGTGAAATCGTATGTTTATTAGGTAGATATTTCAATTTCTATATAGGTACTAACCTACACATATTGTTGTACATTATTGTATATGTACCTAACACTATAATCACTAGATTATAGTGGTAGGTACATATACAATAACTATATCATTTCCAATGAAGTGAAAAAACTACCTATACCTGATACTTGTTTTTTATAGATATACAATAAGGTATCATCAAGTCCAGCTAAGAAACGTTTTTGACAAAAATGCCTGCGTTACCGATCCCAAAGAGCAGCGCCGACTGTTGTGGGTCGGCGAAAATGAAATATTTGAAAAACATAATCCTTTACCACTCGCAAAATGTTAGTATAAGTAGCGGCTATAAAAATATTATTTTATAGATCAGCAATGCAAAAAAAGACAGATAGTATTTGCACATGTTGGAGGGAAATAGTTATACGAAAACCTTAACGTATACGCTTCTTCGCACGAAATCATGGAATAGAGCCTCCGCTGTCTTAAGCGGGAGCACGTAGCGGAAGTCTGCCACGAAAACCCCCTCCGTACTCCGTCACGGACAAATTCACAGTCAAATCTCAGTACCATTTGAATTGCGTCGATGAACAGTATAATGAATGGACTATTTTTGTTGATAATACAATTTAGCAAAAAGACGACTCAGACGATCGAGCGTACCCCATCGCCAGCGGGGCAGGATCCACCGCCCTTCGCTCAGTCACCTGCCCACGTAGCGCTGCTCTATTTAAAAAATACATGAAACAGCAAGCGGAGCAGACGTCCGCTCCGTGCGCCCGCTTAAGGCAGCGGGGGCCCTAAAGTTCACAGCGCTACAAAACACACACAATAAATATCTATTTGCACGCCCGCCCCGCGCTCTATCACAGGGAAGTGGACACATAAAGAATCTTATAATAGATGACACTCACGCTTTGCACTTAGTTCAACTTTAACTGAAGATAAATGTCATAGTGAAGATACGTTTAAATGTTTATTAAAATAGGTTTCTATTTGTTTTCTAGTTGCTCGCTCTATAGGTATTGCTGGTGGAGTGGCACACGGCCGTATCGTTGAGTCACCGGACTGGGTGCTCGATTACTGGCATCCTCTCGAGAAAGCCCAATACCCCGAGTACTTTAGAATTCGCGAATGCAGAAAATGCGAATACATAAAAAAATGGAATTCCGGAGAACTATATTGAAAAGAAAAAATATTATTTAAAAATTTATTATTGTTATTGACGTGAAATATTCCTATGGCGCCATTGTTATTTATTGGTGTTATTAAATATTTTATTGAAGTTTCTTTACACTGGTGTCTTACAGTTACAGCCCCTGAAATTGGTATACACCTATAATCATAGGGAGCGTTTAGCCGACAAAAGGCTAAGCAGCATAAAAAGAAAAAAGGCGATTGCTAAGGAGCACTGGAAAAAAAAACAACGGGTTGCACTCCGGGAGTGCCAACAGAAGTGACAACTTGAATATTAACGTTGTGCATTTTTACAATTTTGGAATGGTTATGGAATAATTTTGCACGAATTGCTTTAATTATCAATATAAAAGTACGATCATTTATGTGGTAGAATACAAAATTTATTTATTGCGCTATCGTACACAAACATTACAATTTATATTACATCAAAAAGTTTAGATCAGAAAAATCAACTTACATGAATCACATTTAAGCGCACCTAGCGACATCTATTGCAACAAAAATGCATTTTCTTTGCAATAAAGCTGCCACCTGGACGTCCTAGATAGAGACTTAGTAATATTTTATTTTACCGTATTATATATGTTTCGTCCAATATATTGAAAGTCAACAACCTTTCCAATTTTATTGTGTGTCATGATGCGATCAACCCACGTGTTTAACCTGACGCGAGTTTAACATTTTTTACCCATACAAAAAAAAGAGTACAACGCCGCTAAAGAAGTTTTCACTTCAAAAATTAAAAAACATAATAATAATAATTTAATTCTTTGAATTGTTAATTATTCTTATAAAAATTCTAGCACTCTTCGCTAACTTCAGTTGAATCAACTAAAGTAGAGTTTCCACCGATAATATTAGTTAGCATAGTCTATTACTGGTGTCGATTCTGGCACGATTCTCATAATCTAAACTTAAATTTGACAAAAGTGTATCCTTGTCATTCTCTTTAAAGAATAAAAAAGAGAGACTGATGTTAAATTTAGTTTTAAGTTTAGAGAATCACGCTAGAATTGACACCACTGTCAAGCATTCTCGAATGCTTCTTAATCCTTTTGTTAGCTACCCATAGGATACGGCCACAGTGCACGCAGGTTCTGAATCAGATTCAGACTCAGAAAACAAGCGCGAGAAGTAAACAATGTAGTTTAAGCAGGGTGGCCATATTGGCAGCAGGCAGTACCCTTAGCCTATAATTTTCATACGATTTTCTCGTTGTTCGATTGTTTTGGCACAGAATCGCATCCTATTGAATTTATTCAGAACTACGATTGTGCAGCAGTACTCTTATCAAGAACCAATATCGAATTCGTAATGTTTGCTAGTACAAAATGTCATTGTCAAGTTTTGGATGGAAACTTGAACAGCAGCGTCACAACGAACGTAACGAGAACTAAAAATCAGTACACATTTGACAACGACATTTTGCGCTCGTAAACTATTCGAATTGGATATCGGTTCGTCCTAAGGGTACAGATCGGGCAAGCCTCACCTAACCTACACTGGGCTACGCTATTTTTGCAATTAGCCAAGCGTGAAGCGCATACTAACTGGATATTCGTATTTTCTATTTTTAAACTTGACAACCAGTGCCGTCTTTGACCTATTGGAGGTCCTAGGCATATCTAACAAGAACTAGGGGACTTTGTAAGTATTTGTGATCTGAGGTGCCCACCTATCGATCACGGGGCCCTGGGCACTTGCCCAAAGTGCCCACTGAGAAAGACGGGTCTGTTGACAACAGTCTTGCTTTATCATCTTATATTGCCGGCACTTCACTTGGCTTTTCGTGTTTTGTATTGGTCAACTTGACATCAGTCGGTCTGTTTCATTTCTATAATGTAAGATAAGGATAGACTGTTGTCAAGTTCACAAATTGTAAGTAAAAATATATTGCCAAGTGAAGCGCCTGCATAAAAGGAAGGACAGAAACACACTTATCTCAAGTTCACAAATGGATTGTCTGCTTAGCTGTGTGTGCAGTGCACAAACTTTAAAGTAATGCTAGCGCATCAGACACTCTGAATAGGGAATCATATAGAATTGACAAAAGCATGTAGGGGAAGCGGTATAGTTATTGGCCATTTAAGCGGACTTAACATTGAAAATTTAAATTTCAAATAAAACTATACCTTAGAGAATAAAAAATAATATGCCATCTGGTTTTATAATAATATATTTATTATTTAAGGTACTTTACATGCATTTTTATTTAATATTTGAAAAATAAAATTAACATAAACAAATAAAACAAAAAATTACAGTTATTGGCCATAATATTGCAGTTATTGGCCATGAGATCATATAGTTATTGGCCACAGCAAAAAATAAACCTATAATTGTACAAAAACTCAAAAATTTGAATTAAACATGTTATCATGATGCCTTTAATCTTCAGAAGGTTCGGAATCATCGTTTAACAAAAAACAGTTATGACATATAAAGTCAGAAAACTCATCGTCATCTGGAATATGCTCTTCGTGTTTATTAGGTATGCAATGACGATGATAACTGTTTTTACAAGAACTACACACTGGTGCCAATTCTGGCGTGATTCTCTAAACTTAAATCTAAAATTAACATCAGTCTCTCCTTTTCATACTGTATAGAGAATAACAAGGATACACTGTTGTCAAATTTAAGTTTAGGTTTAGAGAATCATGTCAGAATTGATACCACTATGGACTTATTTTTAACAGCTAGACGCCGACACGTATCACAAATTACCACTTCCAAATTTGATAATAAATTTGGTTTACAGCTATCGCTTCTGGTTTCAGACTTTATGTTAATATTTTGTGTTCCAAGTTCATCTGTTTTGTTCCCTTTTCTCGTCTTTTTTCCTACGCCTTTATCTTTATTTGCTTCAGAGCATTTTCAGCCGCCTTCTCGTCTCTTTTCCTTTTTCTTTCCATTTTTTGGTTCTCTTTTTCTTGCTTTTCTATTTCTTTTTTTTCAATAACAGATCTAAACTTCTCAGAAGTTATGACAAACGGGTTTTTTCAGTCTTTCGAATAAACTTTCTCTTATTTTCTGGGGCATTCTGTAGGTAATCATTAATTGATTTGTTAAGATGAGTTTCTGTCAAAGTGGTTGCAGTGGTAGAAGTGGAAGGCTGACACATATCTTTGGGAGATTTTGTAGGAGTCATAGTAATTTTTACTGTTGTCATATTATTTTCGCTGGTAAGATTTACATTTGTTATTGTGTTATTATCAGATTGTATTTCAATATTGGTTGATTCTTTTTGTGGAAGATCACTCTGAAAAAAGTTCCAAACTTTATATAATGTAGGCGAAGATTTATTCGGTATGACACCCTGCGATTTCAGTACTTTCATCTTGTCTAATATTTCAGGCCCTACAATATGTTCAAATTCTTTTAGGGACATGAGCTTGGTTTCCCCGCTGCGCTCTTTAACATTTTTTCCTGTAGCCAGACATTTGGAGTAATCTATTGCATTCTCGTCAAATGGACACAAACCACATGCTCTGAAACCATTTATTATAGATTCAGGTTTTATATCATCTACCACAGTTTTTAAAATAAGAGCAATGTTTAACTTCGTTACAACTTCGCCTTCGTTTTCAGATTGAAATTTTCTAACAGCTTGTCGATACATTTTTTTCATAGGCCCAAACACGGAAACGTCTGCTGGCTGAGTGATACGGGTTGTATTGGGGTAAAGAGCAATTAGTTCGATTCCTAGCTCTTTACAAGTTAAACTAAGCTGCAAAGTGATATGGCTCTTGTGGCCATCTATAAATAAAATGACTGGTTTTTTAATGTTTTTTTCTGCAAGGTATGGTGAAAATATTTCAGTAATAAATTGGTTAAAAACATCTGCCTTCGTCCATCCCGTATCACTGCGTCCGATACCCCATTTGGGTGGCACTGATGTCGCAATTTTTTCAGGCAGTCGTTTGTAGGGAAATATTATTAAAGGAGAACATGTCTTGCCATCAGCAGAAAATGTAAATAAGACTGTAACATTTTCCTTAGAGTTTCCTTCTTGCACCGTATAAATATTTCTGTCTCCTTAAGCAGCAAGTACGCGACCAGTAGAAGGACAGAGCTGAAATCCTGTCTCGTCAGCATTGAAAACACGCTGTGGATCATGTATTGCCTCTAACAAGTTTTCACTTGTTAAGTAATTCCTTATTTCAAGAAACCACTTCTTTATATCCGCTTCAGACACGCAGGCACTGGATTTAGTGACTCCTTCGCTAGTTCTGTGAACTAAATTGATGTGACGTTTTAAAAAAGCTTTAAGCCACCCTTGACCAGGCCTATTATTGAGAAAAGGCGTAGTGCGTGGATTATTAGTTAAGAATGTTTGAACTGTATCCAGAACGTCATCTGACTTCCTAGGAAAGCCTTTACGAGCCATTCTAACTAACCACTCTGCGATGGTATTCTCTTCCTCATATGTTAAGTACGGTGTTGGTCCAAACTGAGATTTTGAAGTAGGATTTTTAAGTTTAAACTGTAAAGTAGCTCTTGGTATATTATATTTTTTTGCCACTGCTCTCATGGACATTGTTTTTGTATTTATTTTTTCTAATGCCTCATCAAGGGCCTCTTTTGTGTACTGGGGTACCTTCGGCATTATATCTTCTTACGAATCTGATATAAACAAAAAATAATTTAAAGCTAATTTATTCATCATAAATTTATTTGAACAATATAGTAATTGGTCTACTTTTGTATGAGTTAGCTTGACAAATGACACAGTTATTGGCCTATGCTATTAACTGTTCATCATGTTTTAAAATTTCTGATATTTGAGGAGGATGCTTAATATTTTAACAGAAGAAGTTTTCTTAATTAATAAAGCTACTTTTTATTATTCTTTATAAATATAGTTATTGGCATGGGAGGCCAATAACTATAAATTGTTCAAATTATTGTGACAGCTATTGGCCACTACAAAATTTTAAGGTTCTGAATAAATAGGTTAAAATGGCCAATAACTGTATAGGGGCCAATAACTATACCGCTTCCCCTACTTCGCGTGTTTACTTAAACAAATCGGGGAGCTAACATGGCGGACGTAGGATGTCTTTAGTCGATACATTTTATCGATGTTGTTTTCTTTGCTGTAGTCAAAGCATATAGGGTCACATAGATATACTGAAAAGGGTTGAAGAAAGAGAAGAATCTATTTGAATTTCGGAAACAATCGGAGATAATTTTAATTAATGTAAGTTAAATTTTTTAAAGTGTAACTTTTGATAAATACAAGACAGCAATAAGAAGTAGCTTATTAAATTTCACAAACCTTTTCGTTATTCGTCTGCATGTGCATATTATGATAAAGGCTGGTGCTTATTTACGTTAATAAATCATTATTAAAATATTAAAGTAAAAGTAACTCAAGGGCATATCGATGATATATTATTTAAAATAAAATTGAAGTTTTGATTTGATTGAAGTTCAATCTGCATTTATTCCGTTTAGGCTTTTACAAGCACATATGAAAGTCGAAAGCTGCGCCGTCGGTTCGCAAATCTACGGCAGGAGACCTTGTATACTGAGAAGAACCGGCAAGAAAC